TGTAGACCAGGCTGTCCTTGAACTCACAGAGATCCACCTGCCTCTGCCCCCCAAATGATGGGATTAAAGTGTGTGCCACCACTGCCTGGTGCTTCAGCCCTACTTTTTGTGTTCTTTTGTTTTTGTTTTTTGGGACAGCCCTATCTGACCTGGGACTCAGTATGTACACCAAGCAGATTTTTTTTTCTCTCTTTTTTTTTTTTTTTTTTTTTTTTGGTGGCTGGAGAGACATCCGTGGGTGCTGGGAACCGAACTCTCATATTTTTGGTTGTGAGCCTAGCCTTTAACAGCTGAGTCATCTCTCCAGGCCGACCAAGCAGATCTTAAACTCACTGAGATTTGGCTCTTCCTCTGGAGTGAGATGGCTACAGACATGGACCAGCAAACCCCACGGTTTGTTTGTTTTTTGAGATTGGGTTTCTAGGGGGCCAACCAGACAGGCCTTGAACTGGACAGGCCCTGAATTTCAGATCCTCTAGCCTCCACCTCCCAAGGGCTGGGATTCTGGGATATACTACCTTATTTGACGAGCATTTTCCTTCCTGGCACGATATTTTAAATTCCATCCTGGCCAGACAAAGGAGAAAAGACCTGTAATCCCAGCACTTGGAAAACTAGGCAGAAAGTTCACAAATTTGAGGCCAGCCTGAGCTATACAGCAAGACCTCACAACCACACCAAACAAACAAACACCTCCCCAACCTCACAACCTTGTCTAGAATTAAGAGCCAATCTGACTCTTAATTACTGTATCTGAAATCATAGCCTGGTTTCATCAGAATTTATACACATTAGGGGCATGGCTCACTTAGTAGAGAGAATACTTGCTTAGCATTCACAAATTCATCGGTTCAGTCCTCGTCACAGGAGGAGCATCAGGAATTCAAAGTCATCTTCAGTTACAATAGATTGAGGCCAGCCTAGGCTACATCAGGCCCTGGCTCAAAAAGGGGGTCTGAAGAGAAGACTTAGCAGTCAAGAATGCTGGCTGCTCTTCCAGAGGACCCAAGTTCGGTTCCCAGCACCCACTTTGGGCAGCCCAGGATTTCTGTTAACTCCAGCTCCTGGGTGTCCAATGTCCTCTTCTGGCCTCTGCAGGCACTGATAAACCCCCTTCCTCTTTCTGTCTCTCTCTGTCTCTGTCTCTGACACACACACACACACACACACACACACACACACACACACACACACACACACACAATAAATAAATAAAAACACCAAACAAAAAAAGGTGTACTTGAACCATAGTTTCCATTAGGTTTGTTCTAGTTGTTTTTTTTTTTTTTTTTTTTTTTTTTTTTTTTTTTTTTTTGGTTTCTCATGACAGGGTTTCTCTGTGTAACTCAGTCCACCTAAGAACTATTTTGATCTCCCAATTCTCTTACACCCATCCCTCAAGTGCTGTGATCACAGACATGCACCCCTACACTCAGTTCATTAAACTCATTTATTTGTGGTGTTTCGAGACAGGATTTCTCTGTGTAGCCTTGGCTGTCCTTGAACTAAGTCTCTTTGGAGGCTAGGCTGGCCTCTGCCTGCCTCTACCTCCAGAGTGCTGGGATTAAAGTCCTGTTCCACCACCATCCCAGAAGTTCTTTTGTTTATTGTTTATTGTTTTTGTTTTTAACTTGATTTTGTGTACATTAGTGTGAAGATGTCAGATCCCCTGGAACTGGAGTTACATTTGTGAGCTTCCATGTGGGTGCTGGGAATTGAACCCTGGTCCTATGGAAGAGCTGCCAGTGCTTTTAACCACTGAGCCATCTCTTCAGCCCCTGTTTATTGTTTTTTTTTTTTTTTAAATGTGTGTGCATATTTTGTCTGTATGTATGTCTGTGCACCTCACCGCTTGTGTGCCTGGTACTGAGTAACATCTTCCATGAGGAACATGTAGCTTTGGTACCAACCTTTCAATACACCAGCTCTTTGGCTCAAGAAGTCAGGCAAGCACAGCTTCAGCAACAAGATACAGACATCTTTGTTCACTGTGTCTAGCTGTGTCTACTGATCTGTGAGTGACATCATGGTGGCCAAGAGTCTTACCTCCCAGTCACCTGGTGCACTGCCTCAACTCCACAGTGATTTAGCTCTGATGGGAATAGTTATGTTGATAAAGGGGAAACCCTGGGTCCCCATGGAGTTCTTGGTCCCATTAATAAAATCCTTTAAGAGGGGACTCAAATGGAAGCAGAAGGACAATTTTATCAGAGATTTTAAGAAAACCACCAGGGCGGGCCAGCAGTGAACTTCAGCAGCTGCCGGGAGGAGAATAGAGAAGGCAAAAAAAGTTATGGCACTGAAGCTGGCATGGAGGGACACATGGTGGACAAGAAGCCACCTAGCAGGGAGGGAGGCTTTAGGGAATGAGTAAGGAAGCCTAAAATACTGGAGGGTGGGGTAGAGAGGAGCCCAAAGTGTTAAAGCAGGCTTAGGAAAGAGATACAAAGAAAAGAAGGAAAAGTGCTACAGGCAGGCTCACAGCCCTACGTGGGTGTGGCCCGTGCTTCTGCACTAGGGGTGGGGATTCTGGAAGGAAAAATACCGTGGAGCTCTTTATTCCACCTGTCACTCACTGTAGCCTGGCTTGAGGTAAGCCAGCCTTTCTAGGGGTGGTCCCTTAGCCAAGTGATTGAACCAGCCCAACTGGAATGTTAGGTCTCCACCCAGGTCAGAGATTCTATTTTGTGACCAGGAGTTTTTTCTACTCTAACAATGCCAGGAAAACTGGCAAAACAACACCAAAAATAGTTACCTGGGCAGAGGGGAACTGAAGAGTGAGGGTGACTTACAGTTTTTCAGGCTATTCTGTTAGTTGTGTGAGTTATAGATATATTTTTTTATCATAATGATTTTTCCAAGAGATTTTTCTGGGCATGGTGGCACACATGTTTAATCGTTTAGCACCTGGGAAGCAGGAGCAGGCCTGGTCTACACGAAGAATTCAAGGCTAGCCAGCGCTATGCTGAGACCTGTCACAAAAACAGAAAAAGAAGATTTTCAGTTGGGCCTGATGGCAGAGGCCCATCATCCCAGCTTTCTTGGGAGGCTGAGGCAGGAGAAATGCAAGCTGAGCCTGGTTACCTTTATGTTAATGAGACGGTATAAAAGTAAAAAGAGGACTTGCTCATTGGTGTCTGATGCTCTTCCAAGGGAGCTTGATTCAATTCTTAGCATTCACATGGTGGCTTACTCTAGGCCCAGGGTATCCAACAGTGCCCAGACATACATTACGGCAAAAATACCCATGCACATAAAATAAAAAGTAAAATGAAGGGCTGGAGAGATGGCTCAGAGGTTAAGAGCACCGACTGCTCTTCCAGAGGTCCTGAGTTCAATTCCCAGCAACCACATGGTGGCTCACAACCATCCATTATGAGATCTGGTGCCCTCTTCTGGTGTGCAGATATACACAGAAGCAGAATGTTGTATACATAATAAATAAATCTTAAAAATAAAAGTAAAATGAAAAAAATTAGAAAAAACATAAAAAGAGTCTGGGATGTAGCTCAATAGGGTGCTTACCTAGCAAGCTTGAAAATTCTAGGTTCAGTACTCCTATTGAGAAAAATGTTTTTTCTTTCTCTTCCTTTCTCCCCTCCTCCCTTTCTCCTTCCTTCCTTTTCTTCCCTCTCTCCTTGCATTCAGCATAGTTAATCACTCCCCATCTGTTAGAAACTGGAGGCTGACCCTGGAGAGGAGTGATGTATTGGCCCCATGAGCTGTGTCCTGTGTTGGAGCTAAGGGCCCCCAAGGAAACAGAGAGTGTAACCCGGCAGTCCTTCTAGAATGTCCTGCCAAGTCTGAGAGGGTGAGTGGAACCCCACCCTTGGCCTAGAGGTCAGGGTGAAGTTGGAGTCACCAAATCTCAAGAACCAAAAAGAGTTCTAGATTGAGGAGGGCAGGGATTTTCTCCCCATTCTTAGATATCTCCCTGAAGCTTAAATGAAAATCGAACATCAACTCTGACCAGAAAACAGGGAAAGCAAACCGGCACTGAGGAAGGAACAAACACACAGAAGTTTCCCTACCCCAGGGAGCAGACTCCCACCAGCCCCAGGGGAGAGGCTGTCAACTGAAGTAAACAAGTTCCAGAGAAGGGAGCAAAACTCCAGGCGGTATTCCAGGAACCTTGTCAGATGTGAGAGGTGCCTGGAGGCCTTCTTCCTGCCTTGATGCTGGGTGGGGGTTTTCCAATGGAGGATTTCAAGTACCCTGGCTGGAAATTCTGACAGAGATAGTGGAGGCCCCAGGTACAGGGATGAGGGTGAGCAGAAAACCCTTCCAAGACGCAGCCAATAAGGAGGCACAGTGAAACTTTGGAAAAGCACCAGACTTCACAGATGATGGTGCTGGACAAGGAAACTACCCACGATGCTGACCACAGGGACCACATGATTGCCTATGATGCCCAGAAAGTGGTGGTGGCAGTGGGCTATTTCCCATGGCAATAGATGGATGCCAGTCTAGGCCCTTGCACACGGCCAAGCTCCCTGACAACTTGGGCAGTACTTGTTGAGGTCCTGTTGGATAGGACCACCAACAGTCACAGAGCAGCCTATGTAATCAGCCCCAGGCAGTGGGGGACAGACAGCACAGTTCTGGGCAATAAAGGCCAGTAGGGTGTTCCTTGAGTCACTTGCTTTGTAACTTGTTGCAAAAGTCGATCAGAGTTCAGACAAATTAGATGCTGAAATCTGCCATCTCGGGCACAGGATGTTCCCCTCTCTGCCTCACTTCAGAGACCTGACTAAAGTGGACACCAACCCTCCCATGCAAGCTATTGAAACCACCGCTTGATCCCAGTGGCACCCAAAAGCCTCTGTTCAGCATGGGTAAACCAAGTCAGTCAGCTGATGTCTGTCAGCGTTAGACAGGCACGTTAGACACGAATGTCGAGTTCCTGTGGATATTGCTAAATCAGATGCCCCAGCAATTTAGTGGCATTTACTTATTTGTATTTTGTAGTGCTTGGGACTGAGGGGCTATATTTGTTTGTTTGTTTGTTTTGTTTTTAGATTTATTAATTATGTATACAGTGTTCTGCCTGTATGTCATACTGCAGGCCAGACGAGGGCACCAGATCTCATTACAGATGGTTGTGAGCCACCATGTGGATGCTGGGAATCGAACTCAGGATCTCTGGAAGAGCAGCCAGTGCTCTTAACCTCTGAGCCATCTCTCCAGCCCTGAGGGGCTACGTTTTTAAGTTTGTATATTTCCAAACACCTGCCAGGTGTATGGAGAGGACAGGTCCCTGTCTGTGGGGTCATCACTGGATTGTTGGCCTCCAAAAAGCATGCTATTCTGATTATGTCTGCATCTCTTACCTAACAGGAGATAGGGTGTTTAGTAGGTGCTCAGTAGGAATATAGTGGAAAATGACTAGCCTTAAGATAGATATTTGAGAATTTAGGGAGGAAGTGGTTAGCTTTGCTTAGGAATCCAGAGAAGAGGAAACAGGTCTTTGGAATGTAGGAATCAATGACAAGGAATGGAGAAGAGCTTGGGGGAAGACATGGCTTGCAGGCAGGCAGGCAGGCCAAGAAGACTGGAGCCTGGTAGTTGTGGGTTGCGGTGCATGCATGCCTTTAATCCCAGCACTCAGATCTCTCTGAGCTTGAAGCCAGCTTGGTCTACAGAATGAGGTCCAGGGCAGCAAGGGCTACACAGAGAAACCCTGTCTTGAGATACAAAACAAACAAATTAAGAAGAGAGGAGGAGGAGGAAGAGGAGGAGGAGGAGGAGGATCCAGTCATTGGTGGCGCAAGCCTTGCCTTTAATCCCAGCACTCGGGAGGCAGAGGCAGGCGGATCTCTGTGAGTTCAAGGCCAGCCTGGTCTACAGAGCGAGTGCCAGGATAGGCTCTAAAGCTACACAGAGAAACCCAGTCTCGAAAAACGAACCCCCCCCCAAAAAAAAGGAACAGGAGGAGGAGGAGGAGGAAGAAGAAGAAGTCAGTAGCAGCCTGGAAAAGGAGAGATCTGTATGTTCTCCCTCTCTCCCTCCTCCCTCCTTCTCTCCCTCCTCCCTCCTCCTCTCCCTCCCTCCTTCTCGCCCTCTCTCCCTCCTCCTCCCCTCCCCCGCTCTCCCATTTGAAGCTTTCCTACTAATCTATGTAGCACATTCCATTTCCTAGGAGCGGCTGGTTCCCTCTTCAGAACGTGAATTTCCTTTTGTCTATAGTTAAAGCATGCTCATCTTGACTGCTGACTCCTGAGGTGCTGGGTCTATCTACTAATGGCCTCACGCTGGGTGTTTTACCTCATAGGTCCTGAGCTAGCTCTCTGTTGATGCATAACAATATTCTCACAAGCATGTCAAGTTAAACAATATATTTTGTACATCATAGTTTGTCAAGGAAATCTGGGATGGGGTGGGCTGAGAAGGCTTGGAAGTTAAAAGTACTTTTTGCTCTTGCAGAGAATCTGGGTTCAATTTCCAGAACCCACACGGTGGCTCATAAACACCTGTAACTCTAGTTCCAGGGGTGGCCAGTGCCCTCTTGTGACCTCCACAGGTACCAGGCGTGCACATGGTACACATATGTACACACAATCAAAAACCCCTACATGTGAAATAAATGTATCTGAAAATGAATAAATAAAAGAAGAGGAGGAAAGAAAAGGAATCTGAGTTGGGTATTTTGCAAGGCTATAATTAAAGCATGGCTGAAGTCCTAGCTAAAGATCAACTGGGGAAAGACAAGTTTCTAAGCTTGGAGCCACATAGGTAGAATTCAGTACAAGCTTTTAAGCTTTTGTTTTCTTTCTCCCTGTCCACCTTGGTTCCTTTGAGATAGGGTCTTTCTACATTGCTCTGGCTGTCCTGGAACTTGCTGTGTAGACCAGCCTGGCTTCAGACTCTCAGAGATCCGCCTGCCTCTGCCTCCCCGTGCTGGGATTAAGGGCGTGCTCCACCACCTGGCTTTAGCCTTCTTTTTCTAAACCCTGCACCCTGGGCCTGTTTCTTGTCTGGGATTAGCTTTAACCATATTTTGTTTTAAGACAGGGTCTCATTTGGCTGTCCTTGAGCTCACTGAGTAGGCAAGGATGACCCTGAACTTCTGAATTTGCCTTGTCTTCCCAAGTGCTGGTATTATCAGTGTCTGCCACACTGGCTCTCTAGCTGGTGTTCTTGTATCTTGCCACAGGGCCTCCTTCACACAGGAGCAGCTTGTTTTTGTAAAGCCAACAGGGGTGGATGTAGCCTTTGTAATATCCTTATGAATTAGCGAGTCCCAGGTCCCTCCCAGACATGGGAGGGGGCTGGAGAGATGGCTCAGTGGTTAAGAGCACTGACTGCTCTTCCAGAGGTTCTGAGTTCAATTCCCAGCAACCACATGGTGGCTCACAACCATCTATCAGGAGATCTGGTGCCCTCTTCTGGCATATAGGCAAACATGCAGACAGAACAGTGTATATGTAATAAAAATAAGTAAGTAAATAAATAAAAAGCCAGAAGAGACCAAAGGATTTGGGGCACACTTAAGAGTTAGTCCTCAAAGATCCTCATTAGACACTAGACGATGGGGAACAGAAATATTCCTTCTTGCAGTTGAAGGATGCCCATTACATGGAAATACATGTTGTCTCCGGTGACATAGTCAGCAAATATAAAAAGAAACGGCACAGGACCCACTTTATATCTGGAAGGACTTAGAGCGGACTTTCCATCAACAACTCAACTATTTGAATCTTATAAATTTGATAGTTGTAATTAGAATAAAAACCCACAAAGCAAATTAACGGCCACCAAGTGGGAACTGGGTGGGACAGCATTGTTATGAAGGCGGCTTCTCTGTAACCCAGTGCATACATAGGTGGTACTTGCCTCTCCATTTGCACACGAGCTATGGATATTAACCCCCCACTGCAGGTGGTTAGGCTGTGCAGGCCTCTGTTTAGTGAGCCTCACTGTGTGGCTAAGTTGCCTAGCTTCTCATGACTCCCTTTTCTCATCTCTAACATGCAGGTGAGAACAGGCCTCATTGGGCCTGGTATAACAGGGTTCTAATCTCAGCTACCTTCAGGCTGACACTGGAAGCTAGAGAATTCAAGACCTGCCTGGAATACAGAGACCCTAGCACAAACCCGAAACCAATAAATAACAAAATCTTCGCTTGAGGAGATAAGAGGTAAATGACGGGACAGAGCTAAGGACAAAGGACAGCAAACGGGATGCCAGTGGTACAAGCGCTTCATCTCACAGACAAACCCACCGGAGATGTTTGCTTCCTTGTGGGAATTCGGCCTGTGTCCCTCTCTTCCCACCAAGGCAGTCTCTAGGCAGAACAGAAGAAATCACTTAAGTGATTAAGTACTGAAGGAACCAAGGAGCTAGACGCCATGGTCTAGAGAAAACTGGGTTGAATCTTGCTTACAGCAGGAGTGTCTAAGAAGGCCTTGCTTGTCCAGTTCCTATGAGGTGGTGGCACTGAGTGAGGCCATTGGTGGGGCCTGATGTAGAGCAGCTCACATCCCTTTAGGACAAGGGCTGGCCTTAGCCGGGGCCCTCCCTCAGTTCACAAAGGATGTGGGAGTTAGCCTGTGGGCAGGAGGGAATCCAGCTGTGTGGGAACAGGATGGGTGGGTGAGAGTATTTAGCCTCAGGGAGCAAATAGAAGAACCCAGAAGGGAGGGGACCCTAGCTATGGCCTCTCCAAAGAGCTGACAAAGACTGAACTTTGGTGAAATGATCTTTCATAATAGCATGTGGCTGTTTGGTGGTTTTTGTTTTGGTTTTTTGCTTTTTCAAGACAGGGTTTCTCTGTAGCTTTGGAGGCTGTCCTGGAACTAGCTCTTGTAGACCAGGCTGGTCTCCAACTCACAGAGATCCACCTGCCTCTGCCTCCCGAGTGCTGGGATTAAAGGCATGTGCCACCAGCGCCTGGCTTGTGTTTGTTTTTTAAAGATTTATTTGTATTGTATGTGCAAAGATGTTTTGCCTGTATGTATGTGTGAGGACATCAGATCCTCTGGAACTGGGGTTATAGGCTGTGTGAGCTGCCATGTGGGTGCTGGAAAATGAACCCCGGGTCTCTTGAAGATCAGCCAGAGCTCCTAACTGCTGAACCATTTCTCCAGCCCTTGTGGGTTGGTTTGTTTTTGAGATAGGGTCACTTTAAGTAACAAATCTCTGGCTGTCCTGGGACTCACTTTGTAGACCAAGTCTGGCCTCGAACCTACAGAGATCCTCTACACTTGCCTGAGTGTATGGATGAAGGCCACCACACCTTCTCTTTACTGTTTCGGAAAGAAATCGATCCATAGGGTGCTGACGTAATGAGGGTGGTGCAGAGACCAGCCGGTACCCACAGGGCTGACCCCTCCTACCCTGTACAGCGGGCACAGTTCCGGACTTCCTGACCTCCAGATCAGGCCTCTGGAAGCAGCCTCCTACAGGCAGTTGGAAGGGCGTAATCCCAGAATTACCCCCTTTTCCCGGGCCAGGCATCCACTTAATCCAGGGCTCTTCCCTTTCAAATTCACCTTCCTCAAACTGGTCCCCAGCCTGGAGGCTGCACTATGAACCTCCCTAGAAAGCAAAAAGCCTTTAAAATCCGGTAACTAGGGCAATAGCAAGGACTGTAAGGTCACAGGCACCCACACTGAATTCACCTTAGTGTGGGCAGGATCGGGCCACGAAAGCAATTCAGAGTACAGTAGGGACCGAAGGACCTTATGCCTGCCCAAGGTTAATGACAGGAGTCCGCCTTTACTGTCCACCCCATCGCTCTATGTCAGCTCTCTGTTTCCTGTCATCCCGAGGGTCTCGGAGACCACGAGAGAGATATGCATCCAGCCTGAGTGTGTCCATCCCGTTTTCCACCCATGAGCTGAGTCCGCACTGCGGACACACCACGGTCTCCCTGCCGTGACCTGTGAGCACGCGCATTCCTCCACCTGGGACCCGCAGTTATGCAGCAGCAGGTCGCTGGGCATAACTGCCTTGCGGGCTGCCCCGCACTGCCCTTCCCTTCCCGGAGGCAGGTGCGTCCCCCGACCTCTGTGAGTCCTTGCAGCCTCCCCGAGGGACTTGTAGCGCGACTAGCGCCGTCGCGCAATATTGAGGCGCGCAGGTCACGGTGACCGATGCTCAAGCATGGGGCTGAGGCCACAAGCCTTGGGGACAGGGGCGGGGGGCACGGAGCTATGCATCTGCAGAGCGCTCGGTTTTCGGAGAGGGGAGCTGAAGCTCGGAGGCGGCTCCTCCATGCTCCAGTTGAGCGCTGGAAAAACCCGGCGCGCGGGCAGGCCAGGGACGGCGGGAACAAAGGCGGCCGGGGCCGGATGCAGTCATGGAAAAACCCATCGGGGCGCC